GTGGCATATTGAATGTCCATCCCAGTTGCCTCCCGAGGTGGCGTGGTCCAGCCCCTATAATCCATACAGTGCTCCATGGAGACACAGTTACTGGAGTAACAATTATGCAAATTAGACCTAAAAGGTACAGCACGTTTTCTTTTCTTGAGATTTTCGTGATTTTAAATGTTGGTATCAGTCTGTTGGGGAATTGGGGAATGTAATGAGTGGTGCCCACTAATTTCTGTAATGCCATAGTGCTTCTTTTGTTTTAAAGGAGCCATGGTGGCACAGTGGTTAAGGCATTTGGCTGCTAACTAAAAGGTTGGCAGTTCAAACCCACCAGCCGCCTTGTGGGAGGAAGATGAAGCAGTTTGCTTCTGTTAAGATTCACAGCCTTGGAAATCCTATGGTGGCAGTTCCACTCTGTCCTATAAAGTCACTATGAGTCGGAATCAACTCTATGGGAATGGGTTTAGTTTTTAATTTCCTTTGCTTTGTCTCCTTCCTGTTTTATCCTCATTTGTAACACAAGCCATATGTCTTTTTGTATTTATGCAGTGTCTCTTTAAAGCTCTTGTAATTTTTTTATTTAATTGAAATACACTATTAAATAGCCTTCTATAAAATATATTATGTAAGTGAGAAATGGACTTTTGTGTTAGTAGTTATGAATCTTGGTTCTCCTGGCCTTGGTTTCTAAACTAGTCAAAATTTTTTTAGAACCTGAAGTAAAAACATATTGTGTACCAATGTGTAATGAAATTGTCTAAAACATCTAATTTTTTACATTATACCTACAATCTCAGAAACAATTGTTTAAAATTGCTTGAGGCGTTATTAAGCCCCTGCTTCTATCAAGAAATGTCTCATAGAAAAGAGCAATTGATGAGTTTACAGGAATAGAATGTCTGGGATTTGCTTTAACGTACTTAAGGGGAAAAAGAGAGGGGTAGATAAAGCAAGAATGGTAAAACTTTGTTAATTCTAAAATCTAGGTGATGTGTTTATGGACACTCATTATACTAACCACTATTTTTGTGAGTGTAATTTTTCATAATAAATATTTTGTTAAAACCCACAGGTTTAAAAAACAGAATAAACAGAACCAGAGAGTTAGGTATTTAAAATACAGCATGTTACTAATGAAAACCCTGTGTAGAGAACCTGATATAGAATGTAAGACTTGTTGGAATGCAGATGCCGTTTTACCTGCTTAAATCCTCCGTGATCACAATCAAGGCAAACCTCTTGTTCTTTGAGGAAGGAGATGTAGAAAAGTAATTAATTGTGAATTCCCTAATTACACATCTGTGGAAAAGAAATATTTTGCTCTGTATTGGTCAGTGAAGGAGCTCTGGTGGCATAGTGCCTGAGGCATTTGATTGGTAACCAAAAGGCTGGCGGTTCAAACCCACCAGCCACTCCTCAGAAGGAAGGTTGGGCAATCTACTTCCATAGTGATACGGCCTCAGAAACCCAAGGAGGGGTCGCTATGAGTCAGATCTGGCTCAACGGCAGTGAATTTGGTTTTGGTTTTTCATATTGTCAATATCCAAATAGGGATTTTTTTTCATACTATTAATTACTCAGAAATACTTGTAAATACAATGAAAGCCCTGATACTCAACTGTATACTTTTTTTCCTTTAGGAAAAAATTAATTTAAACTAAGTCCTGGCCAGTTTTTGCTCTCCCTTCTCCCAAACTGACATTTTTTTCTCTACTAATGGCTAATAGTCAAAGTCATGGCCAGGGTTAAGCTAACCTTACGCTATGTAAACATTCATGTAGACAAACATGTTTTTCTTAAGAAATAGTCCGTAATCATGTTACTTGCTTTTGGTTTTTTGCTAGGTTTGATGTAGGCCCAATTGTCAAACAGGAAACTGTTCCTGTGCCACCCAAGAGCACCGCAAAGGAATTGGAAGCAGTGTTATCAAGACTGGGTGCCAACATGGTACAGTTTTCCAATATTCCACTGTTTTTTATTCACTTAGTAGCTTTCCTAAGTGGTTATAGTAAAAAGAACAATTTTGCAATGTGTAATTTTAAGCTTCTTTAAAAATAAAAAAAGGTGGTCTCTATTTCTGGCTTCCAAAAAATTAGCCTGGTGTTTGTGACCTCATAAAAGGCTTTGAGTGCCTAAGGCATGTGACTGCTAACCAGAAGGCTGGCGGTTCAAACCCACCAGCCACTTCTTGGAAGGAAGCTTGGGCAATCTACTTCCATAGAGATACTGCCTTGCTATGAGTCTAATCAACTCAACGGCAGTGAGTTTGGTTTTGGTTTGGTTTAGATACTTAATAAAGGCTTTTAGATGAAACAGGTTACCTTTTATGGTCCACTGTATTTCATAGGAAGGCCTTTAAAATATTCTTCCTGGTTTCACTCTCCTCACTCTCATGGTGGTGCAGTGGTTAAGCACTCTGCTGCTAACCTAAAGGTGGGCAGCAGCTCTGCGGGAAAAAGACCTGGCGATCTGCTCCTGTAAAGATTACAGCCTAGGAAACCCTTTGCAGCAGTTAGTTCTACTCTGTCCTGTACGGTTGCTAGGAGCCGCAGTCTGACTGTAGGGCACACAATCCTTCTGTGTACCTGTCCTCCCTGTCAGATTAAACTAACAGCCATTTCTTAAGAGACTCTTACCTTTCTTCCCACTTCTGTGCTGATGTTCCACCCATTTGCATCTATATGCACTGGAATTCTGCTGACCCCCCAGCTATAAATGATCTCTCAGGATAGCTCATTGAATCTCAATATAGTGGGATCTGTGCAAATGCTTAATGATTTTCATATGAGCTAGTTAATTTTATACAGAAGAAAACATTTTTCTGAACTGTAGAGCCAGTAACTTCCTGTTCTAGGCACTTGTTCTGGTTACCTAGTGCCACTGTGATAAGAATATACTGCAAACGGGATGGCTTTAACAAACAGGAGTTTATTCTTAAAGTTTGAAGGCTTTAAGTCCGAGTTTAAAGTGCCAGGCTCTAGGGGCTGGGTGAAAGCCCCTCAGCCTTGGGCTTCAGCTCTGCCTCCTGCTCCCGGGCCACTGAAGCTAAAGGTTTTTTCTTCACTCAGACAGCTGCTGGCTGCTGAGGCTGACAAGCAAAAAGGCACAGTCTTGATGTTACCACATGGCAGGCTATTAATCCAAGTCCATTGAAAGTCCCAGGATCAGCAGAGCGTGGCAGGCTGCTGACCAATGACTTGGCTACATGCAGGGCTCAAGCATGCCATAAGCTAGAGACCATCCCCAAAGCTGTTTCTTACATACGGAAAGCAGACCACATACACAAAGGTAGCTACTCAGCTGCTCACAGATTTCACCATGGAGTTGATTACCAGTCTCATCATGGGGAATATACATCCAGCTGCTTAGACACTCAACCAAGCCTAGCCAAGTTGACACACAGTTCACCACTACAGCACTCATCTTGGAAACGCTATTATAATTGTGGCTCCATTTATCGAGCACTGCCTGTGTGCCAACGACCTCTGGTGGTGTAGTAGTTAAGGCATTTGGCTGCTAACCAAAAGGTCGATGGTTTGAACCTACCAACTGCTCTGAGGGAGAACTATTAGGCATTCTGCTTCTGTAAAGATTTACAGCCTTGGAAACCCAGTGGGGGTCACTGAGTCAGAATCGGTTCACTGGCAGAGAGAGTGCCAAGACTGTTCTAGGTACTCCATGAACTTTTTTTTTTTCTCTGACAAAACTGTGAGATAGCTGTTGTCAGTTGTTTTACAAACGATGACATTAAAGGCCACAGAGCAGTAAAATAACTTTTCCACAAAGGCATGGCCTGTAGGTAGCAGAATTGGGATTTGAACCCAGGTCTGTGTGACTTCAGAATATATTCTCCTCTGTGAGGCTCCACTGCCTGCCTTCGTAGGGGGTGAGTGTGCATAGCTAGTCCTAATAGGGACACTTGCACAGCCAGGCAAGCTCAGTGCCCTTCGGAAGCAATCGTTGACCTGTGCTCTCCAGACAGCAGCATCTCTACTAAAACTCCACCGAGTAGACACTTTTCCTCACAGCTTAAGCCAGTTTACTGCCCTACCCTGCCACACAGCTCGTCTAAAGCTCCAGGTAATCTCGTAGTACTGAATTGTGATGTATTCTGCTTTTGTTCTATTCATTTTGGTTATATTGCTCTCCCTTTTTTTGTAGCTTATTTCAGTTTTGAAAAATTTGCCTGAAAGTTTGAACAGTGGAAAGCAGCAGCCCACTGAGGGGGTAACATATGGTGAGACTCTTACATCCTTTATAAGGTTTTGTTTGTCATGATGACACCTTCAGTTACACACTTCCCTTAATTTTGACTAGAGGTTGAGTGCCCACTTGGATGCCCTTTTCCAAATAATGGTTGGTGAGGTCTTCTTCTCCCTTTTAGCACGTAGCCTCATGAAGGACTGGAGAAATGTTCCCAACTTTTTATTTTGAAAAGTTCTGGCAATAAATCGAAAAACTTGTACAATGAATACCCATTTCTTCCAGAATCAACAATTATTATCATTTGGCCATATTTTCTTTCGCACTATATATATGTGTGTCTGTATTTTATGTATTTTAATTTTTGCTTAGCTATTTGGAAGTAAGCATAATGACCTTTTATCCCTAAATAGTATGCATCTCCAAAGAAAAATGACAGTTCCCTAATTGCATCTATTATCCAGGCCACATTTAAATTTTCCAAATTGTGTAAAAATATATAGCTATATTTCTTTTTCAAATTAGGGTCCAATGGTAATTAATTGTTTTGTGTCTCTAATCCAGAATAACTCCATTACTGTTTTTTTTTCCCCTTTCATGGCATGGACTTTCTGAAGAGACCAGGCCAGTTAGCTGATTTGTTTCCTTCTAGTGTTGTTTAACTTGTTTAACTCTATCCCTTACATTTTCTATAAATTTGAAGTTCTAAAGACTCAATTAGATTCAGGCTAAAACTTTTAGGTAAGAATATTTCACAGATGATGCTGTTTCTGTCATATTTGTTTCATTTTGCTTCTAATTTTAGAGATTGCTTTTTTTTTATGATTTAACTCTTACTGGAAAAGGTAAAACTTTTCTGTGATTCAAAATCAGATTGTAACAGGCTAATGAAGCTAAGTTTGATCATGTGCTTGAGGTGGTGATCACCAGATCTTTCCAGCTGTGTTTCTCCCTTTGCAATTAGCAAGTGATCTAGAGGTAATACTTTGGCACTGTGCAGAATATTCTGTTCCCTAACAGCCTTTCACCTAATGGTTTTAGCATTGCTGATGTGCCTTTCCTGAATGAATTATTTCATTAGGGCTTCCAAAACGATGATTTTCCAATTTCTTTTACATTTAGTATTTGGCATTATTCTGGAAAGAAGAACTTTTCCTCGTTCACAGTAGATTTTAGTTCATCCTAAAATGGCAGGGTAAATGCTTAATTCTTTATCAATTTTTAAGGAGTTGCTGCCATAATGCCCTTCAATTATAGTGGCAAGTGAGAGGTTTTTTAAAAGTATCATTTGACTTGTGGATTTTCATACAGGCACTCTAGTGGCGTAGTGCCTAAGGCACTTGACTGCTAACCAGAAGGCTGGCGGTTCAAACCCCCCAGCCACTCCTCGGAAGGAAGGTTGAGCAATCTACTTCCATAGTAATACTGCCTCAGAAACCCAAGGAGGGGTCTCTATGGGTCGGTCTGACTTGATGGCACATAACAACAACAACATAGTTAATTACAGTCATGCTTTTTTTGTGCTGCTTAAAATGTCCCAAAATTGGTAAATAGGAGCTCCTTAAAGTTACCTCCTATATCTTTACTGTTTCTTTGCTTTCTGCCACAAGATGTCGTGAGCCCACATTGTAAATTGCCGTTCCCCATGTTGGGATGAGCCATTTCTCAAGGGAGCCCTTCCTTGTTCATATTAATGGGGGGTGGCTTTTGGAAACCATCTGATATAATAATGTGTTACTCCAAATGGGGTGTCACTGGGCAAAGCTAGGAATTTTTAAGTCACAAGTTCATATTGCTTCTGATTGATATTTCACAGGATTTTTCTTATATTTTCTTTTTTTTTTTTATTAG